ACAGACTAATACACATGGCCATGCTCCTTCTCACCAGTTCTATTCAAGAGAGTATTGGAAGTTCTGACCAGGGCAATCAGGTAAGAGAAACAAATAAAGCATGTTCGAATAGAAAGAGAGGAAGTCAAATTGTTTTTGTTTGCAGATGACATGATCCTATATCTAGAAAACCCCATCATCTCAGCCCAAAATCTTCTTAGGCTGATAAGCAACTTCAACAAAGTCTCAGGATACAAAATCAATGTGCAAAAATCGCTAGCATTCCTATACACCAACAACAGGCAAGCAGAGAGTCAATCATGAATGAACTCCCATTCACAATTGCTATAAAGAGAATAAAATACCTAGGAATACAGCTAACACGGGAAGTGAAGGACCTCTTCAAGGAGAACTACAAACCACTGCTCAAAGAAATCAGACAGGACACAAAAAAATGGAAAAACATTTCATGTTCATGAATAGGAAGTCTCAATATTGTGAAAATGGCCATAGTGCCCAAAGTAATTTAGAGAGTCAACGTTATTCCCATTAAACTATCATTACAGGAGAATGAGATAGGAGACCGGGTTAGGATGAAGAAGGATGGATTTCATTTTGAACACATTGAGTTTCTCATGTCTTTGAGACAGTGGGCAGTGGGCTACCCAAAGGCAACTCAGAGAAGAGATCTGGAGCAGATATAAACAAAGAAGTGGAGAGCACACAAATGGCCACTGAAACCCTGGATCTGGATGCTGCTGTTGAAAGGCAGAGCACAGAACAGGAGGAGAAGAGAAGAGGGACTTGGAGCCTTTAGGAGCATCAACATTTAATGGCTTGGTAGAAAATGATGAGGAAGCTGAGGAGACTAAGGAAGAAGGGCTGAGAAATCGAAAAAGAAAGAAAATCCAGAAGAGTGTGTTGGGGGAGTGTGCTGGTTCTCGAAACACAACAAGAGAGATTTGATAAGGGCATAAAGAGTCAGTGGTGCCCTTTGAAGGGTGACGTGGTCATACAGACTGATATGAACAATGTCATCAGTGACTTAGGGAAAGCTGTTTCCATGAACTAATGGTGATAGGAACCAGAAAATGGAGATGAAAAGCAGCATCAACTCTTCTGAGAACGTTGGCTAAGATGGAAAGAGAGGAAGGGTGTCAGCAGAGTAGGTTTGTAATATTAGGCTATCAAATTTTTAGGAGCTATATTTTTTAAGATGGAAGAGGTTTGAACATGGAAAATGGGGAAACCAGTGAAGCAGGACTTTGATCAGAGAGATAGGAGTGAGACAGAGGAATGTAACAAGGAACAGCAGTTATAAAGCTAAAATTCTGATTCAGTCTTGATTAAAATGAAAATAAAACATGCTCTGATGAGAAGACTTCAAAGGATAATCTGCTTGGCATATCTTGATAATTCAAAACACTGTATTGGTTATTTCCATTCTTAGCAAGAGAAGAAAGAAGACAGAAAACATCAATATCCCAATGGTTGAAATCACAATGACCAAGAAGCAAACTTGGAAATCAACTAGAAGGGCCAAAGGTTTTATTTAAGTTAAAAATTTTACATGCCATGTCTTGCTGTCATGAATTACAGCTACTCTCTTGAACATTTACAAAAATAGGACAAGAGGCTTTCAAAGATATTCAAGTCTTAACTCCAAAATTTTGTTTGATCACCCAGGTCTGAACTCTCTCATTGCATAACTAATGTATACCATACATAAAATGACACTTCTCAGAAAATTTCATTTTTTCTTTAGCTATAAAATATGATAATTTTAAAAAACTCTCTGTAAGTATAGGTATAGATGTAGATATAGGAATAGATATATTAATTATAAAGATAGACTAACATAGTTATAGGCATAGATATACATTTAAACAAAGGTATGATATTATGAGCTCTTCTGTTGATAAAAAAAAATTTAAGGCCTTTTGGGTGTGGTTTACATTGTGCTTGTAATAGATTTTAATCAAAACACAATATAACACAAGTTTTTAATCTGAACTTGATTTCTTCCATAGTATAAATTAAGAAAGGAACAAATGAGAGATGGGATAACCCATGGTGTTAAGGGCTACAGAGAGGTCAAGGGAGGAAATTCCAGGAAAAGGACTCATTCCTGGATGACAGGGGAGTTTGATGGTCTTTTCAATTGTGCTGCACAGAAAAAGATGTATGGGAGAAAATGAAATTTCAGGGAAAGATTAGGTGGTGAAAAAAAGCTTGCAAAACTAAGAACAGAAAAAGTAAGGGTGTCAGTCTTAAGTGAAAATTCTTCTGGAGAAGATGGGAGGGGAGAGAAAAGGGGGAGAGATGAACACCAGTGTATTAGTGAAAGATAAAGGGAAATGTTTGACATTGAGCTATTAGCTAGTGTTATCAATCATAGCCCCCCATTTTTATCTGTTTTTGACCTATTTTCATTTTCTTTGGGCTCCTCTGGGAACAAAGATATCTTTGTGAAGCCTTTACTCCCTTTCATCATTTAATAATCGCTTCTATTTTTCAGCATTTACTAAAAAGGCTGTTTCTCAGCCCTGGGAATGCACTGGCATTAAAGGTGAGAAACAGAAGCTGTACTTTCAGCTCTTCCAAAGAAAAGCACTTCAGAAATCAAAGGCATTGCTATATTGTTATTATTCTCTCCTTCCCCTGAAGGCTTGGCATGACATATTTTTGATGCTCAAAGAGAAGTCTTTTCGTTTAGCCATTATATTAATAATCTGTGACTCTAAAAAAGGAATGGATATACAAATTGATCAACCTAGCCTAATAATCTCCTCTTTCCCTTAGTTCCAGAGCTATGGATCTGAGCCAAGAATCAGAAATAGGAACATTGTAACTCATTTCATCTCCCATGTAAATCACATCCAGCAATGCATAATCGTGAGGGAGGGCAGAGAGCCAAGCCCCATCAGCTCTGTGAAAACAGATCCACAACCTCAACAGGCATTGATAGCATGAGATGTTAATTCATGAATAATCCTTCCACGTTTTTACCCTGTTATATAACCAGTTGCTTTTTATAATGATATTGGAATAATGAATAATTGGAATGATGAGTTGAGGACAAAATATGAAGTTATTTTAAAAATAAGTAATAAATAGATCTAAGAAAAGTACCAGTTATTCTCTATCAAGACAAAAATGGATGAATCTTAACAATACTCAGAAAAAATAACAACTAGGAGAACTCCTAGTTAACATTTTCCCCACTTAGATAACTCCTTACATCAAAGGTATCACCCATAGGGAAGTATCTAATAACAGCCTGAGGGGAAAAAATGTTTTAAACTCCAAATGTAATTCATACATGGAAGTTCATGTAATTGGAAGTCATCTGTAGATGAGCAGGTTCTAAAATAAAACATTGTAACAGTTGGTGAATGTGACTCCAAGTTGTGACTGCTCAACATGTTATAGAAATATAATTTGATTTAGTTATAGATAGGTAGACAGATAGACAAACAGATAGAGATAGGATAGATAGATAGATAGATAGATAGATAGATAGATACATAGATACATAGATACATAGATACATAGATACATAGATAGATGTAATGATAGGTATAAAAAAAGTAACTCGAGCTCTTTCTATTGACCAACTAGAGTTTATTTACATCCTTATAGATCTCACTCAAATTATTTCAAAATACATGTATTTCTAAATATATCCATAACTTGGAAATGAAAGAGACATTAGAAGTCTGCAGGGTAGATGAAAATTTTATAAAATAAACCAATCTAATATTAAATGAGCACATAGTTTAATAAAATTTTCTTTTCCAATAGTCAGAATTAGAAAAACTGATCCCATTGAAACATTAAAATATTCTAGAAGTTGAGACATAAAAACATCTTTGGATACCTGAAAAGTAAACTAAATAGAAGACCTGTTTTTGTTTCTGAGTTAGTGATGATATTGATTATAGAGCATGCTTCTTTAAAGACCAGAGTGTAGGTTCCATGTTTTGTTCACTGATATATCCCAAGATCCTAGAATAATATCTGGCACACAGCAGTGTTTATTAAATATTTATTACATTGAATTGGTGCTGGCATTTCTAGCATGAAAATTGTAGAATAAGGTGTCCTCCACCTGATCTATCATTTAGTTATAACTATTACTCTCAACAACAACAAAAAAAATTAGAAAATATTCATTTGTCACTTAACATTTATGAACAACTTGCCACACATAACCTCATCCAGTTCTCCAGGTTCTGCACAGCCTGGAGACAGCTGGGCACCAGGAGCCCACATCGGAACCCCTGTCTGATGCCTGACTCTGTTCTCTCCTGCTGTCACTGTTAAGGATTAAGTTGTGTCCCCTCTGCCCCCAAAATTCACATGTTGAAGTCCTAATCCACAATTCCTCAGAATGTGACCTTGCTTAGAAATAGGGTCATTGCAGATGTAATTAGTTCAGTTAGGATGAGGTCATACTGTAGTAGGATAGACATGATTAGTTGCTTCATAACAAAGGGAAATTTGGACTCAGACGTGCACACAGGGAGAAGGTCATGTGAAGATGAAGGCAGCAATCAGAACAATGCTTGTACCAACTGGGCAATGTCAATGACTATCAGGAAACCGCCAGAAGTTAGGGGAGCCCTCACAGTCCTCAGAAGGAACCAACCCTGATGAACCCTTGATTATGGACTTCTGGCCTCTAAAACTATGAGGCAATAAATTCCTGTTGTTTAAGCCACCCAGTGGCACTTTGTGGCAGTTTGCAGCACCCAGTTTGTGGCACTCATTTCTTTTGGCTGTAAGTAACCCTAGCAATCTAATGCAGCCACCTACTTACTCCTAGCAGTTTGTCAGATGTCCTACCAGGGTACTTGTAGCCCTGACCTTACTCCCACTGGACACCCTACAGTACAGAGCTGAGAGTTCACGAGATTGCCTCCAATTTATCCCAAAGCATCCACAATTATATGTTGTAGATGTCTGACGTGTTCTTCCATCTAATGGCACAGCAATTACGCCCGACACCGTTCCCTTACCGTCTCCTGGCTCCTGTGCTTGAAGAGGCATTGTAACCTGGAGGGGGCGGTGGAAACCAGGACTGCCTGTTAAGAAATGACACGGTAATAAACACAATGCTTGAAAGGCTGATCCCACCCACATGTCTGAAAATAATTTGACAGTTAAAAAGACAGTGAGATTATACCAAGCCTTGGAAGTAAAATGAACACTATTTCATAAATGAAGTGGGAAGTAATTGTCCTATATTCTAGGCTATCTGTTCCTCCAAGTAAACTTCTTTTCTCATTTCCTTTGGCACTAAGTAATGTGGACGTTTCTTTTAAAAATAAATCTAAAGCAAACCTGGAAAATAATGACAATTGCTAAATCTAGATAGTAAATTCATGTATGTTTATCATGTTATTCTCCCTATTTTTTGCATGTCTGAACTATTCACAACAGAAATAACAATCTTATACTCTACTCAAAATATATATAGTTTTATTTTTATTTTTATTTTTGAGACGGAGTTTCGCTCTTGTCGCCCAGGCTGCAGTGCAGTGGCGCGATCTCAGCTCACCACAACCTCCGCCTCCCGGGTTCAAGCAGTTCTCCTGCCTCAGCCTCCCAAGTAGCTGGGATTACAGGTGCCCACCACCACGCCTGGCTAATTTTGTATTTTTTAATAGAGATGGGGTTTCTCCATGTTGGTCAGACTGGTCTCAAACTCCCGCCCTCAGGTCATCCACCCACCTGGGCCTCCCAAAGTGCTGGGATTACAGGCGTGAGCCACCACACCCAGCCTCAAAATATAATTTTTTAAAAACTGTGGGCCAGGTGCAGGGGCTCACGCCTGTAATCCCAGCACTTTGGGAGGCCAAGGCAGGTGGATCACCAGGTCAGGAGCTCAAGACCAGCCTGGCAAAAATGGTGAAACCCCATCTCTACTAAAAATACAAAAATTAGCTGGGCGTGGTGGCATGTGTCTATACTCCCAGCTACTCGGGAGGTTGAGGCAGAGAATTGCTTAAACCCGGGAGGCAGCGGCTGCAGTGAGCCGAGATCGTGCCATTGCACACTCCATTTCCAAAAAAGAAAGAAAGAAAGAAAAAGAAAGAAAGAAAGAAAGAAAGAAAGAAAGAAAGAAAGAAAGAAAGAAAGAAAGAAAGAAAGAAAGAAAGAAAAGAAACTGATAGAAAACTCTGACAAGTAAGAATATTGAAAGCGTAAGTGAATATCATAGCAGCACTAGCTTCAGTTCTAACCTTAATTAGAAAGATGTCCTCACATCACTAGGTCATAATTTTAGTTGGTAGCAATAGCTAAGCAGAAAGACCAAGATACGAACGAAAACTGAAGATATTCAGATGAGAACAGTATGCACTACAGAAGAAAAGGCAGACAGGAAAGCTGGCTTTAAATTGTTTAAGTAGGTCTCTTCTCTGAGCCACTGCAGAGCTGAACTAAGACAAGTTACGAGTCACTCAAGGCAGATCCCAGCTCAAGGTAAGGAATAGATGCTACCCAGGAGAGCAAGTCAAAGATGTGTCCCAAAATAATGAGAGTCTTATTGCTGGCTTCAGTGACCCTGAATTATGCCCAAAATGTCAGAGGAAAGATTCTTGCACTAGGTAGGAGATTGAACTGACTATCCTAAAATTTCTCTTTCAAACTTAGGAATCTGTTTTTACTAGGCAAAGGGTCAAGGGGCATGAAATTTAGGTTCAAGGGAAAGATGAATCACATTTCTGAGACTTTGCAGCCTCAACCAGAATTTTGTTGAAGGAAAAAAATAGAATCAGTCATTTTTCTCCAGCAGCACCACGGCGATGTCAGCCGGTCCATCAACAAACATTGAGTACCTACCCCGTACAGAGCATGGACCCAGGTACAGACAGGGAAATTGAGAAAATTTTAAAACATTGATGTTTGTAAATGCTTATTTTCCATTTGCATCACAATTCATAGCCCTGGGGTTTTTTCAACATGCAAACTTCTCTTCCACCATCATGTTCTGTCCCATGAAGAATATTTGGTCACCACTGGTCCAACTACTCCTCCGTGCCTGCTAATTACATAGGACTCGGTACCAGCAGAATGTGGGAGACCATGGAGAGGAGGTCGGTGGAGGAGGCAATAATCAAACAAATACAGATGGATGTCTCCAGAAAGGGTCTTTGACTCTGCATTTGGAAGCAAGACCAGCCCAATCCACAGAGCGGAGGTGGCATCTCCACATACAGGCCTGTTTCAGGAGCATGGCAGCATGGGGCCCTATATTCATCGTTATTTCAGGTTAAGATATTCCCAACAGCAACACTCCATGAAACATGCTACCTCAAGCAGTTCGCCATTTAACATGCAAGCTCTATCATCTAAAACATTTCCTAGAAATTCAAGGCCCTAAAAGAACTGAAAACAAGACTCTATATTTGAGAAAGAGATTGTTGGAGGAAAGAGCTGAAGTTTGGGAACAGCAGAATGTAGATGCTGGATCCCCGCCAAAGAGAGGAGGAAGCTTTCTAATGCTGCCTGGGAGTTTGGTGGATGACTTGCTTCAGAAATTAATAAAGAAGAGTCTTTCATAGTATATCAGCAAGAGGCAGACACAGTGAGTTCATTGTACCTCTTCTTCTTTACAGGAGTAGTAGCAGAAGTGGATGCTACGGTGTTGGAGGTGTTTGCATTCAGTGAACCGCCAGGTTGCCTGTTTAATGACAAGAACAACAATTAATCACACTCTCAAACTTTTTCATTTCAGCCTACCTTTGAAAAGTCTTAAATTCTACTCATATTCCTGCCTGCTCTCTGTTCATCATAAAGTGTTTCACTTGAGGATGGAAAAACAGCCAAAAATCTTCTCCCTTAGTTGACATATTTTAGAAGTTGTCAGGTTCTCACAGAACTAGCTAAAACTAAAGGAATAAAGAAGTGATTCATAAAATGACATTAACTGTCTGAAATTCACACCAATCAATTCTGGCGTGCTACAGATTCACATTTCTTTTATTCCTGTGATTGTATTGTGACTAATTATGTTGCAGTTTTTTGCATTAGAAAAATTTTTAAATCATACCGTCTTAAGTCTCTATCTAGCATTTATTCATATATGCAGAGCCTCAAAAATGGAAGTGACCCAGGCCCGTTTAAAGCTCTGAGAGCTGTGATCCAGTGTATAAATCACTTTATACATAAATAGGAATTCAAAAATAAAATAAGTTTACAAATATGTCTGATTTGGGCTGCTTGTAACCACCAGTAGTACATTCCAGGGAAAATGTATTTCGTTTAAATAGATTTTTAGCTCACCCCATGATTTCCCAATTCAATTTTCTCTGAAGCAGGAGGCATAGATGTGAAGGGTGGGTAGGGAAGGAAGTGAGGTGTGGAGGAAGGGTTAATTATTGTGGGAGTAGAGAGAAGAAAAGTCCTGTGGGGGAAAAAATAAGGAGTCTAGATTTTAACAAAGAAGAAGAAAGAAAGGATCACCTAAGCTTTGGTGTTTGATTAGAGTTATGACTGGAAATCTTTTTTTCTGCAAAAGTCCAGATAGTCACATTTGGACCTTTGCAGACCATTTTGGTATTGTCTTCTACTACTCAACTCTGCCAGAGCAATAGGGGCATGGCTGTATTCCAATAAAATTGGCCTGAGGTGGTTTTCCCTGGTTTTTCTTGAACACGTAAAAAGAAATATACTACAATTAGAAAGAATACATACAACTTTGTTACTTCCGGTGATCTAAACATGGACATGCTCCTGGTAAGAGAGAAAGAAAGCAAAGTTTGAACAATGAAGAATGAACGTTTGCATCTATTTGGGATTATTCTTGAATTTAGAGTTATTAAAAGTTAGACATTGGTGAAAGAAAGAAATAGAAAGCATCATATTTGAATAAATTTCATAAGATGATTTCATGATTTTGTCTCTTGTACTAGAGTCCAAAGAATTTTTCTTCTTCTGAAAATTTAGTGTCGTTTAAGTCCAGTATTTTTATTTGTTGGATTCAGTAATTTTCCTTAACAATAATAATGTAAAATTTGCATTTGTACCTATTTCATAATTTTGCCACCAGGACAACTTAAACAGAAACATAAATGTGGTAAGAATGGTGATTTGGAGCTACTAGCGCTCTTGATTTTTAAGCTAAACAACAAGATTTTATTCTAGCCATGCACAGGAGTAATGATTTTTACTCCTGAATTTCTGCAATAAAAATAATAGAGAGTAAGAATTTACAGAAAGATATCAAGTAGGATTGAAGAATTGCAAGTGCATAGGTAACACTTAGAAAAATATTATACTTGAGCCTTTCCCATAGCTAGTAGATACTGGTACCTATTGGTTAGTTGTTTATCCAAGGTATTGGCCTTATACGTTTTAGCAGCATCATTTCTGTCTGAGATCCTTTATAAAGAAACAAGACAAAAGTCTGAATAAACATTTAAATTGTCAAACTCCTTTCAGACCATTTTCTTGCTAGAATAGCTTAACAATATAACCTTTCTCCCGTAAAGAGAACTATTTTTCAAGTGTTACATTTTAGAAAATTTTTAAATAAAAAGAAACTACTTACGACAAAATCTACTTATGAAGTTGTTTTAATAGAGTTTGAAATTTTATTTTATTTTATTTTATTTTATTTTATTTTATTTTTTGAGACAGAGTCCTGCTCTGTCACCCAGGCTGGAGTGCAGTAGTGTGATCTCAGCTCACTGCAACCTCCGCCCGCAGGGTTCAAACTATTCTACTGCCTCAGCCTCCTGAGTAACTGGAACTACAGGCACTCACCCCCAAGCCGAGTTAATTTTTGTAGTTTTAGTAGAGATGATGTCTCACCACGTTGGCCACATTAGTCTTGAACTCTTGACCTCAGGTAACCCACCCACCTCCACATCCTAAAGTGCTGAGATTACAGGTGTGAGCCACTGCGCCCAACCTGAAATATTAAAAGTGTTATGCCTTTTGCCTGTTTGTCTTTCTGACTCTTCGAGCATTTAACTCATTAACTATTTTCATTTTCATTATTGTCTAATGATATATCTTGTCAATGACAGTACTTCCTAAGTCAGTGAAAGGCGTCAATGAAATACTTTTTTTTTAATGGTTTGTGGCATAAACAATATTATGTGTTTGCCAAACACATTTTCTTTTCTTTCTGAGCAATCAGGGAGACCACATTTCCCAACCTTCATTGCAATTAAATTGGGACCATATGATTGAGCTCTAGACTAAAGAGTGTGGGCAGACATGTTATCTGCCACTTCCAGACCCATTGTAAAACCTCCTGGTGATCTTCCATGTTCTTTCTTCTCCCTTCTACTATGGCTTTGGTATGCATGGCAGCATAAAGATGGCAGCATTAAAATATGGAAAGAACTTAGGTCCCTGAGTCACTTCATGGACTCCAGCAAATCACATTGGACTCTGATGTGTCAAGCAGTACCTTATAGTATGTTAAACCATCTAGATTTGGAAGAGAGGAAGCAGACTTGTTAAAAAGTTACTCTACCTTGACAAATTAGTTTACTTTGACTAATACATGTAATAAGTCCAAATGATCATTAGAGATTTTAATCATTCTAATCTCATAGATCTAGAAAAGCTGTGTTCATCTGCTTCTTGAGTTAGAAAGGACAAATAAGGAAGGTTATCATTCTCTACCAATGGTAGGATCTCATAACTTCGGCCCCGTTCCTTCTTTCCTTGTCTCATACCTACTACTGTTTGCTGGTCATTTGATATGCTTTCTCGACTCTCCAGAACATCCCTGCAAGGTAGGCATAATGATTTTCATTTTATAGATAAAGAAATGGAGTCTCAGAGTCATTGTGTGGCTTTCTCTTGGCAACACAAATAGAAAGTAGTCTATCTCCCAAGTCATTCACTGGGATCCAATGTCATATATTTGATTCTGTAGTATGATTGTTCCCCAAACGCATATATTAGGTTAACACATCTTCCTTTAGTCTTTATTCGTCATCTCTCACAATCTATTTCATGCTACCTAGGGGATAAGTCTATCAATGGTAATGGAGAGAACTCTAAACCACCATTTCAATATGTATGTTGATTTCATATTGCTGGGGGATATTAATTTTGTAATTATCCTGGAAATTAAATTTCTGTCAACTAGTGATATAAATTAGGTTATTTTAATAAAAATCGGTTTTGGAGACTTGAAATACCCAACAATGTAATTAGCAACATGATCAGAAAAGCTGAAGGAAAAGTTATACTTTCACAATGGAGCACTAGGGGGCCTCCTAACCTAGGTTTTCCAAATTAGTTATAACCCACTATCTCTGCATGCTACATACATATTTATGTTTCTTTTCCACACCTCGTCTTTTACACACATAAGTATATTTTAAAGGGAACTTTTCAAATGCAAACCCAGTACTTTTCTCATATTCATTAAAACAATTCATCTGCATCATTATTAAAATGCCAATGCACACATACTAGATATATTTGATCATCCTCCTCCTAAAATTATTTCATGTCTTACATTTTGGAGTGGTCTATATTACAGAAGTTCGGCTCCTGCTAACAGGACCTGCCTTTCTTTACTGACGCCTGTGTTCTCTTCCTCAAATCTATTTCCACATCGAGTGCCTTGGGAATGAGCTGCCAGAATACTTTTTCCAAACATACCACTAAAGTGTATAAATAAATTATGTAATCTCTGGGCCTGCTTTCGAGAGTATAAAATGAAGGGCTTGAGATATATTGGTGGTTCTGAATCTCAGCTGCACATAGAATTACTTTATAAGCTTGAAAAAAAATGCTTGAGTTCCACCTCAGGCTAATTAAATCAGAATTTGAGGAGTGAGGGGTAGTAGGATAGAAGGCACCAACAAAGTTTAAGAGCTCCGTCAGTGGTTCTAATTTATAACTAAGGCTGAGAATGACCTAACTACATTGCCTGCGAGGTCTAGTCTATTTCCAGCATTCGTAGGCTGCGTCTCAGCTGACCTGACATAAACGTTCAGACACATAGCCTACAAAAGCTTATGTCTTCCACCTTACTTGAGGTCAATTATCTCACTTTAAAATTCATTCCTAGAAATAAGGTTTCCTTCTTCAATTAGCCATCTGCAAGACCAGGATGAATGGAGAGAGGTATTTTATCTACCTCTTCTCTATGCACCGTTGTGGAGATGAGATCTTGTACATATACTACAAATTCATTTTTGACAAGGATGATAATTTTTAAAAGAGAAAGACTAACTCTTTAAGATACCAGTGTTGATTGTCCTCTATTAGGGTGACTGACTTGAAAGCCTAGGAATAGTGCAGAAGGTATATACATTTGCTACATTAATCAACACTGGCACAGTCTGAGTTTAGAATCTATTGGATGCTGTAAGTTACCATGTATTTTCTTAAAACCCAGTAGGTGCCATTTTTGCCTACAATTGCAGCACGTCTTTAGCTGCAAGGAGTAAACTCAACTAGCACTGGCTTTGGGTATTCATGGTGCCTATTTAATAGGAGTCCAAAAGACTCCTATTAAAGATGCTAACTTTGTCCTTTACTTCTGCTTACTAAGCATCTCTACCAAATCTAAACTAAAAATGTGATTTGTGGCATTTATACTTCAACCTGAATAGAAGTTGCCCTATTTTCCCTGTAGAGATGAGCACTTTCCCTCCATGTAAGAAGGAACTAACAGCAGGCACACACGTTGGACTCATTCTATCAGCCCTATGGAGACTCCAGTGTCGAAAGAGTATTTTCACTTTCTAAAGAGAAAGTAAAGAGCTAATGTCTCTGTCCTGGAGTGTATTGAAACTATTGTATTATTAAAATTTATAGTCTCTCCATAAAGCAGTTGCACGGACTGATGTTTTTCCACCATCAGTGTGGAAGAACCAAATGTTGGAACAAGGATTACACATATTCACACAAAAAAAACCCTATATTCTTCATTTTAAATTGAACTAACAGATGCCGTGCAGTACCCACCCTAGCTGTACTCAAATCAGTGTCACTAAGAATTGTTCACATCAACCTACTATTAGCAAGATTTTAGAAATGCATCTAGTCAAGATTTATTGAGATTTGAAGAAAGTAATTCAATTCTTAGAGCTCTCCATCCCTGGGAATAAAATAACAGCGATTCAAACCTTATTTTGGTAAACGTTTAAATTCTTCATAACTTTATAAGAAAAGGAATTTCATATGTTATGCATTCTACTTACATGGTTCAAAAGAACCTTACCTGTCCAAAGTGTCATCAGAACTATACCGACTAATTGTAGCTTTTGACACATCTCTCTCATTTACTTTCCTGTAGCAAAAATAATTACCAAAAAAATCAGATAAATTATAAAAAAAAGTTTATAAAACCTATCATACATATGGCAATATTTTGACCTATTTGAGTAGGAAATGTACATGTTACCAAGGAAAGATAGATTTAGAGTACCCAAATCTTCCAACTTGGATGGAATAAATTATGGAAAATCCAATATCCAATGCTAATAAAAGATTCTTCTCTGGCTTCAATTATTTCTAACAACAATGTAACATATTCAAATTAGGGATAAGGATTCGTAAATCATACAACACAACAAACAACACGACACGCAAAATGGTTAATAACTAATGTGTACTCTTGTCAATGTTGTTTATTTCTACATAATAGGAACTCAATCTTTTATACTCAACTATATTTTGTTTGCAGAATTTTAGCAGTGCCATAAACCAGCACCATGGACTAAATCCGTAAACGCTTTGTTTAATATTCAGCACCGTGGACAGGGTTGAAAGAAGGGAACTTACAGGGAGAAGGAGGGGAAAGACAGCAAAGAAAGGAAAGGAAGGAAACAGGAAAAGCTGGGAAAATGAAAAGGAGAAAGTGGGAAGCGAGAGAAGGGAAGGATAGGAGGAAAAGAGGAAGAGAGAAGAGTGATAGGAAGAAGGAGAAGAGAGACAAGGGCAAAGAGAGGAGAGCAAGACAGATGAGCAAAAATGGGGGGAGGGATTTAGAAAATAACAGAAAAGAGGATAGAAGTTTCAACAGAAGGAATCGTGATCATGGAAGCAAAAGAAAGATCTTGATCAAACATGAAAAAGCCTGTTTAATGCCTCCTATAACCCTATGATATAAAGCAAGCAAGCTTTTTGGAGAATTCTCTATTATTTATTGTGTTTGTTTTTCCAAGTATCATTTAAAACCGTCCTATCCAAAGTATTGCATTAGAATAAGTACTAAGACTAGGTGCTAAAGATTTAATTTTAAACTTGATGTGGCATATTTTCACTAAGCAACTATTTGGATGTATTCAATATAAAAAGTACTACAAATAGTGCAAAAAGTATATTTGCTGTATTAGTAGTGGAGAAAGTAACATTTGCTGTATTAATCAACACTGTTGTACTAATAAATATAAGGAAATCTAGAATAAAATAACTATAGCTGCCATCTACAGAGTAAGACGGACAAATCAGGTATGTACCTCCAAAGACAGTACCTCCAAAGACAGAAAGTAGTGAGTGCCATAAAAGAGGTTTAGGTAAGGTGTAAGGAAGTTCTAAGTTGAGAAAGCTGATTTCTAGGTATGCAAACCAGAGAAGGCTTTATGGAATGAAGTGCAGTTTGAGCTGGGCCTTGGAGGGGAAATAGATGTGGAATAGATGTGAACATTTTCGAATAGAGGTAGAGGGAACAGTATCAGTTGAGGCAAGAAAAAAAGTGAAGAAAAATGCCAAATACAACTCCCCCAAAGTTTAATACAACCCCAAAGTGAAATCATGGCTTGGTTCACCATCGTGTGTAATGTGTAAATGCAAGCAGGTGCTGGAGGGCCATCTGACCCCTTCCAGAAAACAGCCCCTCCCAAGACACTATCACTATGTCTCTAGGTGGCCATTGTCTTCCTACTACTTATCACAATAAGACATGTTTCAACATGTTATTTTCATTCTCTCTCCTCCCTCACTTTCAACTAGGATGCAAGTTCTGTGAAAGCAGCGACTTTCCAATTGTGGATAATATGAAGGTATTATCTAAGGTGATGACAGTATATTATTTATTTTCCTTTATTTTCAGACCCCACTCATGTCAGCTCTCTGCACACATTGTCATCTCTGTGGGAAGTGCTTCTTTCCTTGCTCCATGCCCAACAGCCAGTCTTGCCCATTTGGGAAATTTTTCCTCATAATCCTTCAAGCATCATCACCAACACCAAAGACCACTTCCATAGTGAGGTCTCTGATTATTTAGGCAGAGTTAGTCTTCCCTCCTTTCTATTCCCATAGTGCACTCACACACCTCTACTATAGCACTTTCTGTGACAAACTTTAGTATTTTCATTTGTGGATATTTTTTCATGAATACAAGAGCTCCTTAAGGTCAAAGATTATGTTCTATGCATCTTTGTATTCCTGGCACCTGGCACAATGCTGGCACATAGCGGGTGCTCCAAAGTGGCTGTTGAGTGGGCATCAAGGTAAAGACAGCCTCTGCAGAGCAGAAAAATGACAAGTGACACCCTCTGAGCAAGTACCAGGAGAAAAACAATCTGCCCTACTCTTTTAGGGAGATTGATTCTGTGATGTTAGTTATAGGTCAAGGGGGAAATGTCTAGGGCTTACAGATTTTTGTTCCTTAAAAGACTGATATGCTACTTTAGCCACAACACTGGCCACCATGAGGAAGGGTTCAGGAAACCAATACAATTTAAAATATGAAATAAGCATGAAAGGGATTATGCTCCTGTTAACCTAAAGCACATTGTATGTACATTAAGAATATGAAGCGTATTTCACACTTAAAAAACACAAGGGTCTGTGTTCTTTAATCATTCCAGAGAAAGGTGAATAACATATAGGCAGCAATTTCCACGGGTGGCTGGACTCAAATGATGAGCCTCTCCTTTGTTGGTGAGATCAGAGCCAGCTGAGAACCAGGCTCTGATCTTCAAAACCATAAAGACTAAGGACAGGGCCTCGGCGGAGTCTGCCAGATCACAGAAGAGTAAATCAGATGAACTAAAGCTGGCATCAGGAAAATGAAACGGCAACTCTGTGTAGAGGGTTATATGCTCAGCACCCTTAAAACAGGTCAAAATTATTAAAAAGTTTAAAAGGGTTGAAAGAAATTCATAAACAAAAGTTTCCAACATAGACATGTCCCAGGTGTCTGCTTAACTTTTTAAGCTCCACGCCATAGAAGACATCCACACTCCCTTTCTAATTACATTTTAATGACAAACAGACACAAGCTACTAGACCAGATAAAACTTGCGTCTGATAAATAATTAGGTTCTTCTGATGGGTGTGGTTGTTTGTATGCATGTGAGTACAGCTGTGTTTTAGTAACAATATTCTCTATTTTTTATCAGTCCAAGATTATTTACATCATTGTGATTACTGTTTTATCTTAATTTTTCTACTAATGTGCTTTGATCAGTCTATTTGCCACTGAGGATCAGTTCATGTTTTCCCACTAGCCCAGGAGTTTCCAAAAAGAAAGGTACTGTACCATAAAGCAAGTGAACTCTGGAGTTGTTATTTCTGTGTTTTAGGATTCCTTTCCCTAAGGTTCAGAGATATCTAATCTGGTCGTGTTGCTATTGTTGTTTGTTTGTTTGTTCATTCATTTGTTTGAGAAACAGGGTCTTCTTCCATCACCCAGGCTGGTGTACAATGGAGCATCACTGCCCACTGCAGCCTCAGTGTCCCAAGCTCAGGCAATCCTCCCACCTCAGCCTCTGGAGTAGCTGGGACAACAGGTGTGTACCATCACACCTAGTTAAATAATTTTTTTTTTTTTAAGACACATTGCCCAGGCTGGTCTCGAACTCCTAGGCTCAAGGGATCCTCCCACTTTGGCCTCCCAAAGTTTTGGGATTACAGGCATGAGCCATGGCACCCTGCCTGATCTGATCGTGTTTCTATGAGAGTCCTTTCTCTGCCTGTCAGGAGGACTACCTCCATGGGATGTACAGAGGGTTGGTTATGTTCTGCCTCCAAGTCATGGCTCTGGAGAGGCAGAGTTTTCTTGTGGAAACCTCTGATGATATCACAGATTCTCCTTCACATGCCCAGAACATCGGGGAAAGCCCGAGGCATGCTGCAAATATTCAGCTGTCTTGAACAAGTCTTCTCTGAAAACTACCATCTTTATGTTACATCTCATGATGTAACATGTCTGAACACCCACCTGTCCAATGCATCATGGGAATTATGTCGGTTGAGCACCACCCTACCATAATTTTCATCTCTGCAAAGAAAGAACAAAAGTATGTCACATAGAAAGTTACCACAATATTGGCTAAGCACCAAATGAGAGAGACATGAGGGCGAGCTCACAATTTTTGGCAAGGTTAATTCATTTTACTTCAGTTGTGAGAACACAAAATTATGTATCTATTTTAACCAGTCACCACTTGAAAGAGCATGAGAAAAGGAACAAGTTTGTCAGTACAAATGATCATTTATCCCATGAGGTTTGCACATGGTTCGACAATGAATGAGTGTTGTGATGTGTTTTGTTTTATCAGACTGTGGGAATATGAGCCCATTTGCTTTATACGTATTAGAAGAGTCCTTTTTGGCTTGAAGTCAAATACAAAAGCTTTCCACAAATTGTGTTTAAATTTAAGCAAGCCCATTATGTCTGGATATGTTGGTGGACTTGACAGTTCTCCTTCATAAAATGTGGGAAACTCAGTACCAATATTTGTGGTTAAGGAGATTTATAATTCACAGGAGACCTAGCCCACTTTTGAGCCATGAGAATACAGTTTGCTCTAGTTAATCATTAAAATAATCCTATGAATTAGGCAGTGAAGACACTGTCACATCCAGTTCACAGATGAGAAAATTGATTGGGGATTTTGTGGCTTTCCTAAGACCACAAGGTTAGCAAGTAACAGACATGCGTCTAGGACCCATATCTTTGCATTCCAAACCATTGCTATTCCTACTGGTCAACCCTGCACCTTCATATGTAAAATCTCAAAGTAATATCATTCTTGTTTTGTACAGTGGAACTGAAAGTACAGGCCCTTTCAGGAAATGTCAAAACATGTAGTGAAGCCTTTGGATTTGAGCCAAGGCAGAAAGTACTTGAACCTATTTCATGTCAACCCAACCAAACCTGAAATACCACATTTTTCCTGGTTGTGCTCCAGTAACATTACTCAATCCTCTGGTACTTTTTTTTTTTTTTTTTTTTTTTTGATGGAGTCTTGTTCTGTATTCCAGGCTGGAATGCAGTGGTGCAATATCTTTGCTCACTGCAACCTCTGCCTTCCGGGTTCAAGCAATTCTCCTGTCTCAGCCTCCCAAGTAGCTGGGATTACAGGTGCCCGCCATCACGCCCAGCTAATTTTTGTATTTTTAAAGTGGAAATGGGGTTTCTTCATGTTGACCAGGCTGGTCTCGAACTCCCGACTTGCCCACCTCGGCCTCCCAAAGTGCTGGGATTACAGGCCTGAGCCACCACGCCCGGCCTCTGGTACCATTTTTAATGAAGCTATAAAAGAACTGTAGTAGACAATTAAATAGAAAGATGAACAGTAAAAGTGAAACAATGCCAACAAATATATACTCTCAAAGACCCCAAGAGAACTTTCCTATCTTCCTCTGTATCTCTTACTGAAATTTTTGAAAGAGCAGCAGATACCAGGCATATTTTTATCTGAGGCAGAATTATAACACACAGCCCAGAACTGGGCCAGGGAAAATCAGGGAAGCATCAAAGCCAATTTTCCCTTCACTCAGCAGCTCCTATGCCATCCAAGTTGGCTTCCCTGGGTTTTCTTGGGGAGGCATGCCTGGCATAAAAGCAACATTCCTCCCAACTGTGATTTGTCTTATACATTCTATCTTCACTCATCTGTGTAAATATTGGCAATCCAAAATGTATGGTCTACATTTGACATGACACTATCACTACAGAAAATTGGAAATGCTCTGACAGAAGCAATAAATGCTGTTTCATGGAAGGAAATGATTGTTGTCCAATAGTGCTAACTCCAAAAGTTAGTGTGAGTCTCTAAATCTCTAAACTCCTGTATATTTCCTTGAAATAATAATATTCAATAACAGAAATTAATAGATATTTTAAATTTAACATTTACACGAATGACCCTTAAATAACCATATCTGCAGAGTTTGTAAATAGTTTAGAGTAAGTATCCTATAATGCAGGATTTCCCAGCTTCAGGACTGTTGACACTTTGGGTTTGATAATGTTTTGTGTGGGAGCTGTCCTGTGATTTATAGGATATTTACCAGTATCCCTGTTCTCTGCACATTAAATACCAGAAGCACTCCCCAATTTTAACAACAAAAATGTCTTCCAACCTTGCCAAATGTCTCCTGGAGTTAAAATTGTCCCTGGTTGAGAAACATTTGTGTAATGGAAAAACAATGGACCATGTTAAAATCTCATCTCTACCACTAAATAGCTATGTGCCATTAGACAAGTTACTTAGCTTCTCTGAGCTCAGATCCCTCTTCTGTAAAATGAGGAGATATAACACCTACCTTGTGTTTTATTGTAAAATTACTGGTGCTTTATACATAAAGTATCTAACACCAAGCTTAATAACAAAGAAATTATAAAATGTCTACATAATTTATAACATACACACAACACGATATATATCCGGGCTGGACAAATACCTATTGCAAATCTATATTGGCAATGAGGCTATATGCCTATGGCCATAGTTTTCAAATCTTTAAACCTCTCAGCTAGTAGAAGTAATGCTCAAAACAGACAAAATTTTGTTGGTGGTAAGTACTTACAAAGTAATACCATATATTCCACCTTCCCAATACCTAGAAGTAGATGGCACTAAAATAAGTCGGTAATTTTTTAAATTTCTCTTGTATGTATCAAAATTTTATATATTAAATTTGGAATTATACTATTTTTGTTTATTTCAGCTGACATGATCAACATAGCAGGAATTGTCTGATCATGGATTAACTGTTACCTTTTTGGAAACTGGAAAGTCATGTTTTCTTTTCAATTTACCAAGTAAGCACAAATATCTATCCTAGGTAATAACCAGGCTCTCTCTCAGTAATGACTCACATTCTCTTATGTATGTGGATTTTTAAAATGGCAGAGGTATTCTTGAAACTCTGGTGTGTAACCTATTTATGCTTACTAAGTCTTACCAAAGATTAGACCATGCAACAAAGTGTTTCAGGAGAAAAGTATTCACTTTTCAGACGAGCATTAGCTTCCCAAACAGAGAATGCCTCTCTCTGCCCCTCCATCCACCCACCACGCTCCACACCAGCTTACTTTTCTTCTTCAGGGCGTTTCTTTATCCAACTGTTATCCTGTAAGAAAGTTCTTCTTTTGTTCACCTCCTGAAAATCCTGCTGCTTCCGTGTGGTTCCCAGAGTGGTGCTCTTCATCTCTATCAACAGAAACATGAAAGACTGGAAGATGTAATAGTGTGGAGTTGAGCGTGGGCTTGGTAACCTGAAAATCCTGAGAGGCACAACTGATTGGCCAGCATCAATCTTCTAGGCTGGCAAGTCCAGTACTGATTCAAAGTAGGATGCACCAGCAAGAAAGAACAGATCCCACACCCTATCACCAAAGATAACACACAAAGCTGCTCAGGTGCCAACTGAAACTGCCAGTGCCACTTATGAGGCCCCATCCAGTTCCTGGGAAAGGAGAACTCCCAGCCTGGGATAAACTGAGCCAGGATTTAGTGGGCTGGCCATTTTACCCCATAAGAAATATACCTTGGAAGCCCACAAAAGACTGTTTTTATAATACCTAGTAATAGTCAATAAGTCCTGGTCATTTGATTCTAAGTAACTTAATTCTTTTATTCTGTAAGAGCCAAACACAAAGAAGGTCATATTTTTTTTAAAAAGATATTTTTATTGATTTTTAAAAAATGAATTCCAATTACATGACTAAAAGCTGTGGCATGTATACTTTTTCTTAAGCCTAACTTTGCAATGCTAATTAAATTAGACTGTTGTTTCTCAGCATTCAATGTCTGTATTAAAGAACTGAGATCTGTGAGTTGTTTTACTGAAATTTTAAAGTTTTCTGAGTAAGAGAAACTCATGTACATTACCATTTCCTGTGGGAGACATTTTTCTCAAGGTAACATTGGACATGCTGCCTTCCAGTAAGGACCTAAAAGAAAAATGGGAAATAGAGAAAGCACAACAATGACTCTAAGAACCCGTAAGTGACTGTTTCATGACTGAGATTCACTTTTCAATGACAGTGATAGTCACATGGTCTGTCATAACAAATGCATGACATAAAATGCCCCTGAGAGTTCATCTCTTCCAACATATTTGTTTTACAGATGGAGAAAATGAGGCCCAGGGCGTTTTGTGATTCCAGCGTTATATCATAAGCAATTGGTAGAATCAGGCCATCAATTAATTCATGTGTTCAATCAATAATTACGCATGGAATGCTTACACTGTCCCTGGCACTGAGCCTGGTGCTGGGGGTAGAAAAATGAGTTAGACAAGTGTCTGGTCATGGTCAAGAGGGAGAGAGATTGTGCTGAACCCACAGCACACTGTGAATGCCCAAAGAAGGGCTCCTCAGCTCCTTCCTGAAAAAAGCCAAAGCAAACTCAGGAAATTGCTGTGTAATTAGAAGGAAAGCAACCAGGCACATGGAAATCACAGACTTTGAGAAGCATTGGTGATTTTAGGCAACTGCCACATGGAAAACTCAAAGTTTCTGAACTACTCTTCTGGTGTTAAGGGGTTAAGGTAACCCACAGCACCAGTCTGCCCAGGACTGATCCAGTTCCCCAGAACTGAATTATGACTTTGTGGGTCCTAGGCACTTTTGCCTTCAGGGTCCCTTCTTACTCACACAGACATACACACACACACAAATTTAAAATTATATCTTATGACTATGTTAGTATGAATATGATCCTGGCTGACTTCATTATTATTATTGTTCTATCAATATTTTTCTTCTGTTATTGAAAGAAATAAAAATTAGAATGCTTTTGTGGATCATAAATGTATTGTGGGCCTTTGTGCGCCTGAGTTAACCCTGCGTCTTCCTGAAAGTGGAAACCAGAAAAGTCCTGGGCAAACCTGGATGGCTGGTCACCCTAGGTGGGGTTATTATGTCCTTTCCAGTGTCCATCTCACCCAGACTGTGCATGGAACATAGGAGGGGCATTCAAGCTCAAGTCAGAAGCAAGTTTTAGGTCCATATTTATCACACTCAATGTCTGGAAAATGAACCACTTAATCTCCCTGCAAAATGAAGCTATTGAAACCTGCCATCTACTTCCTAAGTTGCTGTGATGATCAAATGAATAATGTACACAAAAAACCCACTTTGTTAAACGATCAAATGCTATTGGACTTAAGGAAATATTATCGGACAACTGTCTATAGGTATAACTTGGGGTTCTAAAAGCCCCCACTTCCTATCCTCTAATGCGAAAGTATTTCCTGCAACAACTTGCCATAGGACCTGAAGCAGAAAAGACACACTTCTCTGGGTCAAGGTATTATTTTCCTTGGGGTCGCTTCTTAGAATGTCAGTAGCACTGCAGAAGATCAGAGGTGGAGGCTGTAAGTGTCCAGACCAGCTCCCCCTCACCAGTCTGAAGCTTGGCAGCTACAGGCTCATGACTGCACCTTCCCTGAGGATTTGCCCTTCACTCTGCCTGGCTGGTTGCACAGCCTCCCCACTCACTACAACCTGGAGCCAGTGGCTGACTGACCGGGATAAAAAAGGTCAGTCCTTTGCCTCAAGATAGAATCAATTTTATCCAGTGACTTGCACTTCAGAGCTGGGATCTGGCTGTAGATCAGCCAGCAGAGTGCACATCCTTGCTCACTTCCTTCCCTGGCCTTCCCCTGCCTCTCTCCTGAAAGCACACCCTCAATAACTCAAAAGCACCCAAATGCCTCTCAGAAGTGGCTTCTGGGAAACCTAACCTAAGACGTGGATTAAGAACCAATGTATTCATCATGACCATTACCTTCTCAGGGACCAGCAGCTGTTCGCTGCATGAATAGCTGATTCTGAAGGTCTTAGTGGAGTTAGAAAGAACTGCATCTAAGTGATGCTGTTTACTGACTGTGTCACCTTAGGTATGTTATTAGCTCAGGTCTCTTATTTGTATAATGAGATGAAATAGGAACATTATGAGGTTCAAATATTACTAGATAATATATGTAAAGTGTCTAATTATTGCCCAGCACACAGTAGGTGCTTGATAATTTTTAACTCCATACTCCATTACCTTGGCAAGCAGAGAGCAAAGACATAGGAGAGGTATGGTTGGATGTGGGATGGGATGGAACAGACTTGAACTTGGGCAGCTGGGCACACCAGAAGTGTCAGGGATCCCCTGGCTGGCTATGTTTAGAGGCTGCATAGATAACCTCTGGTAAAATGAAGGTAAAGAAGCACCTAAAGGCAAACTTAAAGCTCAACTAGTGACTATTTTGCCTCTCTCTGGGAGTGTGTCTCAGGACTTTTGGCTAACCTTTTTCCTGTTTCTAAATGGGCTCTGATATATTTTTTTTCCTCTTAGCCGATAAAGACCTGGAGAGTTCTCAGTTGATTGCACTAGAATTCTCAGGTGGTCAAAATGCTGATTGCATAATTAGTGATACATCGGCAGAGACAGTAATGCAATTGTGAGACAAAAGACAGGGTAAATGGAGAAAGGGTGTTTTACAATTACCTGCTTATTTTTCTGTCCCTCCCAAGAGACTGTGTTTCTAGTGGGCAACATTCTAAATGTTTTCCTTCTATTCCCAGCAGCTGGGAAAGAGTAGGTCTTCCCCGGGTGCTTGTTACTGGCCAAGTCATGTTCCTCCAAAATTCATATGTTGAAGTTTCCATCGCTTGTATCTCAGAAAGTGACTATATTTGAAGATAGGGCCTTTAAAGGGGTGATTAAGTTACATCCATGCCCCTGAGCAAACTATCGCGAGAACAGAAAACCAAACACCGCCTGTTCTCACTCATAGGTGAGAATTGAACAATGAGAACACTTGGACACAGGAAGGGGAACATCACACACCCGGGCCTGTTGTGGGGTGGGGGAGAGAGGGGAGGGACAGCATTAGGAGATATACCTAATGTAAATGACGAGTTAATGGGTGCAGCACACCAACACGGCACATGTATACATATGTAACAAACCTGCACGTTGTGCCATGTAATCTAGAAGTATAATAAAATATAAATAAAATAAATAAATAAAAAAGAGGTGATTAAGTTAAAACAATGTCCTTAGGGTGGGCATTAATTCAACCTGACTGGTGACCCTGTAAGAAGAGAAAATTTAGAAACACAAAGAGACAGCAGAGGAAAGGCCACTTTGAGGATACAGTAAGAAGGTGGCCATCTGCAGGCCAAGGAGAGAGGCCTCAGGAGAAATCCAAATCTGCCAATACCTTGATCTTGGATGCCCAGGCCCCACAACTGTGAGACAATGATTTTCTGTTTTTCAAGTCACCCATCTGTGGTATTTTGTTATAACAGCCTGAGCAAACTATGGAATCCTTATGAAAAAAGTAATTTGAAGAGTTATAAGATAGCCAAGTCATTCAAAGAGCTTTGGTCCACACTGCACCTGATCTGTGCCCTCCGTGTCTTCAAATGGTTTATTGCACAGGATAATTGCTATTAGAATAAAGATCCACAGGTCGAGTCCCTGCCCTGAACAGGGTACCTCCGAAGCATTGTCTCTCATTTTTCACATAAACTCTGCGGGGTGGCTCTTGGTACCTCCAACTCCCAGGTCAGACTACTGGAGCTCAGAGAGAGGATGAAACATGTCCAAGGTGTTAAGGGGCTGTGTCGGGCTTCCAAACCAAGCCACGCCCTCCTCAGCAAACAGCACTAATGCCCATCAGTAGTCACTGCAAGACTAGGCTGCTGCCCTGGTGTTAGAACGAGAGCAGGAACGTGGATGCAGGGGCTTGCCTGGTGCTGGGCATCTCACTCCTTGGAAGTCCCATGACCTCCGTCAAGTGCTTGGTACCAGGGCAGCCTCTCAATGAACCGCTGCAACAAACAAACCTTCACAGGACAGGCTTCTCTGTGTATTCCCCAATATTCCTTAGGTTAAAAACATGTCCACACAAAAACTTGTACGTGAATGGTCATGGTAGCACATAACAGCCAAAAAGTAGAAATGACCCAAATGTCCATCAGTGGATGAATGGATACACAGCATGGTATCTCTGTGCAACAGAATATTACTCAGCATAAAAGGGAACAAAACACTGATGCATCCTACAACGTGAATGAAACTTGAAACATTAAGCTAAATGAAAGAAGCCAGGCACAGAAGAGGACACACTGTACGGTTCCATTGATATGAAATGTACAGAACAGTCACATCCATAGAAAAGAAAGTGGATTAGTGTTTTCCAGGGGTTAGGGGGAGAGGTGAATGAAGAGTGACTGCTAAAGGGAATGGGTTTCTTTTTGGGGTAAAATTAAAATACTCTGGAATTAGATGGTGGTGATGGTTGCACAATCTTGCGAATATATATATAACATAATAAATATAAAATAATATATTATATATTATATATTACATATTTATTAAATAATAAATATAATATATATTTAATAATATAATATGTAATATGTAATTATTATAATATGATAAATATAAAATAATATGTCATATTATATATTTTATATTTATTATATTAATAATATCTATCTATCCATATATATTTTTTTTAGACAGAGTCTCACTCTTCACCCAGGCTGGAGTGCTGTGGCACGATCTCACCTCACTGCAACTTCTGCCTCCTGGGTTCAAGCAATTCTCGTGCCTCAGCCTCCTGAGTAGCTTGGTGTGTGCCACCACGTCTGGCTGATTTTTGTGTTTTTAGTAGACATGGAGTTTTGCCATGTTGGCCAGGCTGTTCTCAAAGTCCTGGCCTCAAGCAATCCACCTGCCTTAGCCTCCCAAAGTGCTGGGATTACAGGTGTGAGTCACCGCACCCAGCTGTGAATACATTTTTTAAAAAGCACTGAATTTTACACTTTAAAATGGTGAATTTTATGGTATGTAAATTATATCTCAACTCCAGAAACAAAAACTGGCAGCAGGCCAGGCCGTCTTTGAGCTAGAGAGGCAGAAAAGACACTCTTATATGTCCCGT